TTTAAAAAATGTTTTTTGATTATCACCCGATGGAGTTGTACAGAATTATTTTCTACTTGCTCCAAAATACAGTATACAGTATACAGTATTCACCGCATCAACTGCGGTGGTTGGGACACGTATTGCGCTTGCCTGTCCAGCGTTACCTGCGTCATGCATAGTCGCTATAGGCATGGGTCCCATCTCCTCGAAGCAACGGTGGCATGGACGAGTTTGCACCACAGCGTCGTTTAACGTAGGCGAAGAATTTATTGTGATTTGTCGGGGCAGTACCCGCTAAGTCCTTCTCATACTGAAGTCGGGCCAATCCAAAATGTAGCTTGCACTCATTTCGAACCAACCGATACCTGTCAAATGTTCTGTTCGATATGCTCGCCAGCATCTAGACCGCTATTTTAGCAGGCCCTTCCCCGAGGAATCTATCCACGAAAGCTGCGCTCTCGATTCCCGTCTTTTCACTAGTGGGATGAGGTGCAGAAAGGTCGAGGTGAACAACAAGTTTTTCCCAGGCTATGTGAACAGTGTCGGTCCCAGAGATCGCACAAGGCGATGGCCTAGCTTTATCTTGCATCGCTTGTAAGTTCGCGGCACAAATGTTCGGATACCAACTGCTAGTAGCTTGGCAAGGCCTAATAAGGGTACACTGGAAAGACAAGCAAACGTGATCGCTGGCGCCAAGAGGCGAGTCGTAAGTAATGTTATTTACAGTCGTGACTTAGCAAAAACAAGAGCTAAAATGGAAGGCTGCTGATTGCTCATGTACTTTTGGGGAGGTCCACGAACTGGTGTAGTGGTACCTACAGCGTCAAGCACGGGAGTTCTGCACCGAACGATCCCAGCGCCGAACTGCGAAACAGATCAGCCCAACAAACCTCTGGGAGGTTGAAGTCTCCCAGCACCAGACACTTGTTCGCAGAGTGTGTATTAACTCAATGATCCCCTAGGGGGTGCTCATAGGTCTTATATACACTAACACAACCGTAACCTGAACCAAGGAAACGCAAATCAAGACTACGAGAGCCTCAACAGATTTGGCATGAGACTGAAAAACGCTGGTTTCCAATACGTCTGTGATAATTCACATTAAGAGCCACAACACCCTCTTGACGGCTAATGAAGCGGTCATCACGGAACCGTGCGTAGCCAGGTAGATATACTACGCCATCTGTGATTTCCTCAGACAGGCACGTTTCAGTGAAAACAAGTATATCTGGACGACATTTGTCTACGAGCAGACCCACCTCGCACATCTTGTTCCTCAGGCTACGCACGTTACTAAGTTCCAGTTGGAGAACTTCGGTACGATCAGCCCTGAGTCGTGCGCAAGTAGAATAGGTTCTGGCAGGGTGCAAAAGGACCGCCGGCTGACCACCTGAAAACCCACCAATCAGAGACCTAGCTCGCCAGCTACACGCCGGGCTTTAAGGTCTCTGATGGCTTCCTTTAACTTTAACCTATCCGCTAACGGAATGTCTGGTTGCACACCAACACTGGTACTTTTGAGCTTGAAGGCAAATCGCAGTAACGCGCTGCGCTTTTCTGGGGTGGAGAGAGCCACCCTAAGCAGACGGGGTCGAGGATTTGGTTGACCAACTGAAACGTTCCCCAACCCGATGAGCTTCCTGACAGTAGCGCTAGGGAAACCTGGTGGTAAAAGCCTGGTCACGCAAACTTAAGCCAACCAAGATCATCAGACATTCGCTCAGTGGGAAAAGTGGCAGTGGATTCAGTGACGTTTCTGAAAATCACACCGCTATTTGTGTAAGAATCGCCCCGACGAGGTGTATTTACTCTACATGCTCTACCATCCACGCCACACGGTTGTTTGACAGGAATCGGTGAGAACGAAGGTGAGGGCACCTCATGCCTCACTGATAAATTTCAGCATCAGGTGGTGTTTCCAGCTTATGCACTTGCCTCTTGCATGTTTTCTCACCTCCCGGTTGGGGGCGAAGGGTTTGTGTGCTTTCCTTGCCCTTTTACGCTTATTCTTTTTTGATCCATGAGCCCGTGACCCCTTCCATTTGGGGAGGGTCAACAATGCTGTCCGAGGGATCTGAGCCGGTTATCTCCATGTGAACTGGAGCGTCCGGTAGGATGAACGAATCATCAACGGATGGACTGTCAGCAGAGGGACAGTCCGCTGCAGCGTCCGCATTCGAAATATACAGGAACTTCATAATCAAATCAATTTCAGTGCTGAGCGAGGCAAGCTCGGCTAACGTCTTCACAAGAACTGCGAACCTGGATGCCAGTGCTTTGAATTCAGCAGTGGAAAGCCGGGAGCTTCGCTTTCTTAGCGCAGCAATCCGCACATAAAAACAGTTTCCACTGGACGACAACATTTTGAACTGGTTCGCTCGGAGGTCGGTACGAATTTTGTGACACCAGTGGGAGCAAACATCATACTGCATAATACCAGACGAATCCGTAATTGGCCTTGTAGTAGTAAGTAATCTCAACAGTCTAGCAACTAGACGCAAAGCCAACATAAAACCATGGAGATAAGCGGATAAGCAAGAGTCATCGAGTCAGTTGAAGGTGAGCAACACACTTCAACTAATATGCCACAGGAAGAATGGAACGTTTAGTTTAGTTTGTTTTAGTTTTTTAGTTTGTTTTTCACACGCCGCTTTTGCTCTTTTTTGTCATTTTAATGTTTGTAGTATTAAACATGTGAATCAATACAATACTGTACACAATTCTTCCACTGATTCCGGTTGCGGACCATGTCTTCAAGAGTGCTAATCCACTGGCACTCCTCCGCTTTGGGTCCCCATCCTGGAAGACGTACGGATCCAACAGCAGCTAGACCCGACGTCAGCGATTTCATGTGCTGCCGCCAAGTGGAAGGCTGACCACCAAGCGGTCGCCTCCAGCCAGGTCCTTGACGAGCGAATAGAGCACGACGCGGCAGACGCTCATCATCATTATTATACACATCAGCTAGAGGTGGGAAACACTTCAGCTACTGTGCCGCAATACATAAAATAAAAAGGAAAATAAATACAACAGCTGCATGCCAGCTTAGCTACCAGCAACGGATAGGCATCGTTCCGGTAAGTTAACAGCCGGCTACTAGGTAAAAAGAAAAATGATTATGTCTGACGCTACGAAACAAGATCGTAAATGGAGGGGAGGCTAGAACAGATAGGGAGGGACAAAGAAACTTACAGTATGAACGCCACTGAGGTCCGTTCCTCGCCATGTCAGCAAGTGTGACCAGCCAAACGTGTTCATTCTTTTGGACCCCAACCAGGGAGCCGTGACGCTCCAACCGAGGCCAGCACAGAAGTGAGGGCCTTCATTCCTGTCGACCAAGTCATCGCTTGGCCACCCCTCCTCTTCTTCCATCCACACCCCCGGTAAGCAAACAACGCGCGTCGTAGAACTCGATGGGCTGGCATGCGCAACACGTGGCCGAGCCATCGGAGCCTGATGCGTGAAATAACGGTGCTGAGCGGTTCATTTTCTTTTCCTGTGCCGTAAACAAGGCGTCGAACACGCTCGTTACTCACGCGGTGTTCCCACCAGATGTGAGCCAAACTGCGAAGGCACCGATGGTCGAAGGTAACTAGCCTCTTCATGTCCGTCGACCTTAGGGGCCAGGTTTCGCAACCGTACAGTAAGGTCGAACGTACCGCTGCATTGTACACTCTACCCTTCAGGGCGAGAGTAATGTCGCGCCGCCGCCACAGGAGGCGAAGGTTAGCAAAAGCACTTCGTGCTTTTACTATCCGGTTCGTGATCTCGTCTTCGATCCCAAGGGCGCTGATACAACTTCCCAGGTAGTTGAATTTCCGAACGACTTCTAGCTGATCCCCCCCAACGGTCAGCGCAGGAGGCGATCCCTGCCAATCTTGGAGGAAGGCTTTGAACCTCAATGGTGCAAAGCAAAGCCCGAAGAGACGGACAGCAAGTGCTAATCTGTTCAGCGCGGTTTGGCACGTCTGGGAGCTGTCACAGATGAGGGCAATTTCGTCTGCATACTCCAAGTCAAGAAGTCGTTCTCCTGGGAGCAGACCCACACCTTCCAAGTCATGTCCTGTAAATGCAATCTCCATGACTTCGTCAATAGCGAAGTTGAAGAGGAAAGGTGACAGCGGGCGTCCTTATCTCACACCGCTGGATATATTAAATGTTAGCGACAGCTTGCCGTAAGCCCTCACTCTGCTTGAGCTACGCGCATATGATGCTCGCATAATATTTACATATTTCTCGGGCACACCTTTCCTGAGCAAACAATTCCGAAGGGCACATCGATCAACCGAATCGAAGGCCCCTTTGATGTCGAGCAAAAGGACTACGGTGGGTCGTCAGTATATGTGACGGTGCTCCAATGATTGACGCCAAGTGCAGATGTGGTCAATGCAGCCACGACCCCGACGAAACCCGGCTTGCTCTTCACGAATCTGGCTTTCACGAGTGCCAGTCATTCTGTGAAGGATGACAGAGGCAAACAATTTTAAGGCGATGGAGATCAGACTGATTCCTCTATGGTTACCGCATTCTGAACGCCAGCCTCCTTTGAAGATGGGAACAATAACGGAGCGGCTCCAGTCGGTTGGGACAGTCTCTTGCTCCCACAGTTTCATATAAAGCATCAACAAGACCAGAGCCTCCGAATTTGAAGAGGGCTGGAGGAATATCATCTGGTCCCGCGGCTCTGTTCAACTTCAACAGTCCGATCTCACGTCCGACTTCTGAGCGAGAGGGTAGATCCAAAGGGACAGCCCACGGAGCAGGGCGATCAATGGCCGGCGAAGAATCGAACAATTCTAGTCGATTAAATTGCTTTTTCAAAATGCTCAGCCCAACGCTCCAAACATTTTGACAAATTGTGGATAAGCTGTCCACTCTCGTCAAGTATATTTTCACTAACCCCAGGTCCCTGTTGCCCGTTTCCCGTATCAGGCGGAATAACTTACGATGGTTTCCAAGGGCAGCGGCCACTTCCATCTCTGACGCACGATGAGACCACCAAGATTCGCGGTCTCTCTTCAGGTTAGCACGTAGTCTTGCCCGGAGCTCTTTGCAAGTTTCATTGCGTTCGCTTCCAGGATAGGCCGGTGAGCATCGATAAGTTCCAGAGACCGCGAAGAGACCCAATATCCATGTTGGCTATGAGACATACCACATGAGGATTTGCCTGACGCTATTAAGGTCTGATAAACATGTAACCAGTGACCTTCAATTGTCTCCAGTGAGCGCTGACTCAACTCGTATGTCAGCGTACTTCGATACGCATTCGGAACAGCTGGCTTTGTCAGTTGGCTGGTGTCAATGCGATCACAGCGTCGTCGTGGGCGTCCGACAAAACGCATCCGCATGTCAACACATACAGGTGCATGATCGGTGTCCATGCATGTGCTCCAAATCGAGCGACAATTCTGGCTGCATTCTCTCCAGCGGTAACTGATAGCAATGTGATCGATCTGCGTCCAAGGCTGGTGGGCGCCAAGTCACCCTAAGGCGGGTCTCCGATAAGCAGCACATATCGATCAAGAGGGTCTCCAATGTTCGGGCAAGTGCTGCCTGTTGACCTATCTGCAGCAATGGGCGGACATTGAGGCATGCCAATTTGAAGAGTATCGAGGGAGTAGGGAAGAATAAACTTATTCTAGTGAAAAACAGTGACATTGGAAAACCACAGCTTCAGCCGGACGAAAGTGGCAACAGCAGAGGAGATTATGGACCCGAAATATAAGCTAGAGTTTGGAAAGAAGAGAAGGAATGGGGAAATACCTGACTGACCGAGCCGAGAGTCAAGGTCAAACTGGCAAAGTGAAACAAAACCGCCATTGTAGCGTTACCTAGCGACGTCTAAGGATTGAGTAAGGATGCTAAATGTAGAAACCTTTACAAGTATAAATGGAACATTGTTACATTTACAACAAAAAGTAGTTTAATTATTGGTGAAATAAAACAGAAAACATTTTGGGATGAAATTGCTGCCTACTGGATTGCTTAATAAAGAATCAGAATGCCAGCGGATCGCAAACTCTAGATCATACGATGGGAGCCTATAGAGAATTTTACTTGTTTATGGATTGCCTGAGATTTTCATACTTTGTGTTAATGGATCAAACACGCGTACATAAGTGAACGCAGCATGTTAGTTCATTTAGTGGCACAGAGCAGAAAGGTGGTCCCGTGTCGGCTTTTTCACTTCCCGGTCGTCCAAGGATTTCAGGTTTTGTAAAGTCGTCATTGCTCAGGATGTCGTAGCAGTCCCACATGATCCTGGAGTACTCAACTGGAAAATGTCCAGCAAAGTTTGTGACACGGTTCTGACTGCGCATTGATATTTGGGTCTGGCAGTCGGTGCCAGTCATTAAGTATTCGAGTAGGGAGAGCAACATCTGCGCGGACTTTGAACCTTCTCAATTTAATAAGCTTCCAGCTGTTGCTTTGAGTCAAACTGCCAAGTCTAAGCTTAAAAACTTCCTCAGGCCGTTTCCCAATTTTCGCATGATACGTCTAGTATAGGTGAGGTCTCCGCGACGTCTGCGATAGTCAAAGGAAAAAGGGTCATCCTCTTTAGTCGGGCAGAATACGGGAGTTGGCGAAGCCCAAGGACAAATTTCCAGGCTGGTCGCTGAATTTGTTCTATCTTAGCACATTCACGATTCTGTGAGTGCTACGCGGTAACTCGGTTTTTTGACGTGCCATACTGATCGAGATTTTTAGTTGAAATAACGTGGAAGACAGTGTTTGAATAAACACTTGAAACGAAATTTGGCTCTTGTCAAATTTCATCTGATCCAAGATATCTTGGGTCGACTAAAGTGGTACTGGCCAAAGCGTCTTCCTGACGCTTACTGATAATTTTGCGGTTGTTCCATTTTTAATCCCGTTTTACACCCTGTTTTGCCTTTTTATTGTGGTAGTTTTACGGTTGTATACGTGTTTTTAAATTCTGCGTTGTTTTCCACTTCAATATGGTCGTCTCGCGAAAAACCGGGACGGATGAAGCCCTCGCGTCTTCGTTTGATGAGTCAAATGCACCTTGCAGCAATTCTGCCTGTTCAAGGCCAGTCACAGATTCATCTGGTGGTATGCAGTGTGATATTTGCTCTCGTTGGTATCACAAAAGTTGTACCGGCCTCCGAGCGAATCAGTACAAGATGCTATCATCCCGTGAAAGCCTTCTGTTTAGTTGTGCTGATTGTTGCGCTCAGAAAGCGAAGCTCCCGGCTTTCACCTGTGCTGAATTCAAAGCACTAGCGTCCAGATTCACAGTTGTCGAGAAAGCATTAGCCGAGCTTGCCTCACTTGCCTCGCTCAATTCTAAAGTGGATTTGATTATGAACTCCATGAATATCGCGAATGTGGACGCTGTAACTGACTGTTCTGCTGATAGTCCAATCGTTGACGAGGAGTTCATCCTACCGGACGCTCCTGTTCACGTGGATATAACG